ATGAGGCACAGCATAAGATGTCATGCGGGGCCATGCCGGCAAGCAGCAGTGATCGAAGTTAATATTTCGACCGTGGTGTGGGTACGTGGCATAGTATTTATTAATAGTAGCGAGGCCTTCCCTGCAATCTGTGTGCATTTCACCCCGCGGCGGACACACCACCTGGCTGGACAGGCGAGCATCACACAGAGTAAATCCCCAGCGCCCGGCCAGCGACGCTGTCCCACACGGATCAAGGACCCATTGCTCACGTGGTCCGAGCCCGACTGGAGCGGTCTCTAAGACCACTCTGAGCTGGGGCGTGCAGGATGGGTAGGGCGAGTCGAACCAAGCCAAGCAAGCCAAGCAAGCCAAGCAAGCCAAGCAAGCCAACCAAGCCAACCAAGCAACCAAGCCAACCAAGCAGTGGCACGTGACAAAGGACCACGTTTCAGCTTCCAACACATCCGGCTTGGACAGAAGCGAACACCATCGCTCAATACATCCGGCTTGGACAAATGCAAAAATGTTTGGCAAAAAAGGGTTTCCTCACGCTGGCTTCCCAGTTTGCTTTAAAATGTTTTGGTCAACGGCCGTGCCCCCGGCACTGAAATTCCTAATAAAATACATAAATAAGCTAATACTACAACAGCTTGAAACCTTAAATCGGTATATTGAACTGCACTATTGAGGAAATTGGTTTTGGCCTTCAAACCCCCCTGATCCAGCCCCCAAGGATCCAACCCTCAAAACGAGTGTGTGGATTCTCGCAATCTACCCATGGCCTCCATTCTCTTTCTTTTTTGGGTTTAGAAGTTTTGCAGGAAGGAATCTTATATGCATATATATATATGTATGTATATATTAGGATCACATGCCCCTGAGGCCCTGAACCCGATCTCCCTCAGCTCCCATACCGGGTCGAGGGCTTCGGATTTAGGGTTCTATGCGGGTTCTACCCAGGCTTTCCGGATTTGTGGATTTTTGATCCGGGTTTTAATTCCAAATAGTTTATATAATAGAATTGCATATAAACAAAATAGTAATATGTAATAACAAGAGTTTTGCCGCTTTGGTCTGAGGAATAGGTCGTGCGGTGGCTGCCCCTGTACTTGGCCTGGGGTTTGAACAGGTTGTTCTTCTACTGCGTGCAATGTATCCTGTATTGTGGATGACTCGATCTGCCTCTCCACCTAATTCAGAAATATACTTGCGAGTCTTGGGAGGCAGCATGTGGGTTAATCCACTTGTGCTTAGCGCAAACTACGAGCACCAAGTTTGAAGAAACAAGCCATCGCTGTGATGATGACACGAAGCTGAGCGGGAACAGTTGGACGACGACGACGACAACATCCACGCGGGCGGGAGTGCTACGCCAACCCCCCGCCCCCCACGGCTCGCGTCAAAACATCAAAATACGAAGCCTTGGAGCCTGGACGTTCACCCTATATACACCCTGACTCCGCAACCGTACAGGTTGGAAGATCATGGAGCAGAAGGGCGCGTATTTGGAGTTCTTCGAAACTTTCAAGTCCTCAGCTCCGAGATCTGCGCCGATGTTGAAGCTTTGCCTTGATTCCTTGATCTTGGGGTTTAGGGTTTAGGGGTTCGGCGTCTGATGTATTTAGGGTTTTGGCCGTGTTGTTTCTGGTTTCAGAGTCGCTGTGCGGACAAGTACGTCGCATATCCTCGCAGGTATGATTTGATTACAGACATCTCTGTCTCTCTATGTATGAAAGAATCACATGAACAATTACATCCACGGTGAAGACATACATACATACATACATGCATGCACAGATACATAGATACATAAATGTCTAATGCATGTGTATATAGATATATCTCTGTCTCTCTCTCTCTCTCTGTCTCCCTTTGTCTCTCTCTCTCTCTCTCCCTCTCTCTCTCTCTCTCTCTCTCTCTCTCTCTCTTGCACACAAACATACGTAGACAGAGCACCTACGCCTATTTGTGTTTGTTTATCTCTCTCTCTCCCTCTCTCTCTCTCTCTCTCTCGTTCGAGCTGTTTGTATGTCGATCGTTCCATCTATCTAACTATCTAATATGTCACTGTGAGCACAGATGCACACAATGGCATATGTATACAGACATCAACCTACCGGTTTAGGGATCTGTCAAGGGTTTCTCTAACTGGAACTACAGCGTTGGTGGGGTCTTGGGGTTTCGTGCTCGGGGTTAGGTTTCTGCACCCTGCTCTGCACAGCACATCCGAAGCCCCACTTGACAGACTCGACCACAAAATCCCTAAACCTAACCCTGATGCACAAAAGCATAGTCGGAAGACCTAAACCGAGCAAAGCCAAAACGTTAAGCCCTAACGCCTCAGACTGGACCCGCCTCGAGCCATCTGCTGTGTTGGTAATGTTGCATGGGGTTCTGGCTGATTACTGGTTGTCTTCGAATTTTGGCTGTCTGTGGCGCGGGCACAGCGCAAGGTGACTTCGGCCTTCAGCCGAAGGGGTTAAGGGGTTAGAGGTTCAGGGTTAGGCATTTCGACTTGATGTGAGGCCTTACCTGCTTAGGGCGGGTTGCGAGACGTGAAAACCTCAAAAAAGGGAATTCGACAAACTCTTTCTTCTATGGAACCCCGAAACCACCGATTCCCGAGTCTCGAACCATCATCGAACCCTTGTAGCATCCCTTACAACATTCTCGAAACTTCATGTATCGCACGAAGAGCCCATGTAGACCGCTTAGAGGATGCTTGTCATAACCCTTAAGTAACCCTGCATAGAGTTCTTATGCAACCCTGATAGTAACCCTCATAGAACGTTTATATGGCAAAACGCGTTAAAGGCAGCCTTAGTTATGGTGCCCCTCGATCCCAGGAAGCGCGCGCACACCGCCTGGGAGGCTTTCGGAAAGCTCCTTAGTAGCTGAGGGGGATTCACTTTACACTTTTTGGCAAAATATTACCCACTATTAAACTGAAAGTGTATACTTCCCAAAGGGTCCAAGTACCATTATAGTAGGTATTTTGGCCCCAAAAGTGTATACTATACCATTACTTGGACCCTTTGGGCTTTTTAGGGGCTTATGAACTCAGCCACTAAGGCTCATTGCAGGGCTGGGCGATGCGAACCAGCTGAGGGACTCGATGGAGCGTCTTGGCGCGTGGTTTGGGGTCTAAGAAATTATAAAAGGGATTATTGAAGGGGCTTTTGTTTTAAGAATTACATATACTCTTTTGATGTTTTGGTGGTTCCTTATGATAGATAGAGTACAATGGCACCAAAGATCCCATTCTAGTTATTAAAGCCCCTTTATTATTTGTTTAGGGCGTGAACACGGCTAAGATTTCAGGTTTTATGGTTTTAGGTGCGGGCTTAGGGTTAATATTTGGTGGTCTAGGGTTTTCTTTTTCGGTGTTCAATAAGGTTAAAATTTTCCGGTTCTGGGTATGGGTAAAAGTGTATAACTATCAGGCCCATTTTCCGTTTCTATGAACACAGGGGTCCGCTACGGGTTCACAGCGGGTTTTGTTGGTTTACTTGAGGGGGCTCCTTTAAGGGGTCCCATGTAGGCGTTTATAGGTTGTCGAACATGGTGGCCTGTTTTCCGTGGGCTCAGGTTTTGGGGGTGCTTTCTTTCTTGTTTCGGCCCCAGCATAGACACCAAATAGTACCAGATCCCTATTCCAAGAGCATCTCGGAGGGCGCTTTCTTTAATAAGTGTTCAGGGGTTAGTGGGATCTAGAGTATCAAGTCCCATAAAATCAACTTGGAAGTCGCTAATGATTGTAGTACCCTTCAAAAAGAGCCAGTACAAGACCCCTTCACCTCTCACACGGCTGGATCCTTTGATTGCAGAAATCGACCAAGGCAGCCTCAACCCTAAACCCCTGAACCCTCAATCCATGAAAACCCTAAGCCCCAAACCCAAAACTCACCTCATGAAGCCGTGCCTGCGTTGTGCGAGTGTGCGAGTCGAAACCCACAGAACCCCTAAGAACGGCAGGTTCTGTGCTCTCCGACACATGAGCGTGGCGTTGCAGCAGTCGGACGTGGACAGCTTCAAGTCTGTCCTCCTTGACCCTAGGCCGTTCCAATTGGGGTGATGAGTCTACTATTTGCTTAAGAACCCCCAAAAAGTAAAAAATATATTCCTTATGGGGGTAACATAGGGATTATTATTTTTCTTTTTTTGGGGGTTTCTTAAGCAAATAGTAGGAGTCTAATTAGGGGGCTTAGAGTTCAGGGCGCAGGGTTTACAAGTGATGGGTTTGGGTGTTTAGGGTCTAGCCGTTCTTGCACCTGGGCTGTTCCGCTTGGGGTTTGGGTCTACAACTTATAAGGTTCTAGGGTTGGAGTTCAGGGTTCAAGCTGGGCCACAAGAGCAGCATGGGACCCTACAGACCCCCAAATCCAGAAGTGCTGAAACCCTAGCCCCGAAAACCTAAACCCCGGCTAAACCCTAAGCCTCAAAACAACCCAGAACCCCTCAAACCTAACCCTTAAACCCCAACCCCTCAACCCTAAGCCCCAAAAGCCCATAACTCCTAAACCCCCTATCCCAAGGGTCCAAGTACCTAATAATCATATACTCTCCAAAATAGTGACCTCCATAACTTCTATCCCAAACCCAAGTACCTTCTTATTGGGTCCTTTGGACCCTTAGTTCTAATCCTAGGAGCTCTGCGGCAAGAAGCTCGGAGCCCTCTTGACGCCCGAGTTTCAGTTCGGCGTCTCCATGCTCATTGACTCCATGGGCAGGACGATGCTTCTTATCTTTGTCATAGTTGGTAATATAGGGGCTTAAATAATGACCTATACTACTCTGGGGTTCCCTATTATAGTTATAGTATGAAAACCCTATTCTTTATTAAGGCCCCCACATTAACGTTATAGTTCCCTAAGGTCCATGTACCTTGAAGTAGTCCCTGTATAGGTACGTTGGGGCCTAAGTATGTACCATTTGGGTACGATGCTTCTTAGCTTTGTCATATGTACTGCTCTAAGGGTTTATGTTCTATTTTTTTGTTATAACAAAACGTGAGCTTAAATTAGTAGTAGTATACTGTTTCGCTAACTCACGGTTGGCTAACATTTTAAATCTGTGTGGGTATTTAGATTCAATGAGTTTCCATGTTAGTACCATCCCAAGTTGACGAGTATGGTAGACTTTTAGCCTGTTAAGGGGTTATAAGAAGATGGTGCAAGCCACCGGAGAGAAGTGAAGTTCGATGCAGCTATATATGGTATATAACCTCCGAAGCCAAGGCTTCGCACCCGGACGAAGTTCGAGACACGGCTTCGCATCCTTCGCACCAGCTGGGCGGCTTTGGAACATACAGAGGGCGAGAAGATAGACGTTGATTCGCCAGTTTCTCCTGGCTCCCCTGATGAGAAGGAGCCCCTCTAAAAAAAAACAATCCCGCGCACCCAGATCCGCAAATCCTTGAACCCTGCATAAGGCATAAGGTAACAACTGCAAGTAATACACTTTTCGGACCTCTAAACTCTAAACGAGCACCAGAGAGGAGCCCGAGAGTGACGACAACGGACCTGTGACGGTCAGCGAGAAGTCCGGGGAGCGTAAGCACAGGAAGAGCTTGGGCAATGCAGGAGATGAGGGCTTGGAGGGTTCTGGCGAGGTTGGGGTTTAGACATTACCCTGGGGCTCCTTAGTAGTTCCTTTTTGGGATTACCTTATAGGATTCTATATATGAACCCCAAAAAGGAACTACTAAGGAGCCCTAGGGTACAGAGTCCGAAACCCAAATCCCTAAACGCCCTAAGCTTTGGCCCGACTCGTCTTTGTGTTTTTTAGGGTGTTTGGATTGGTTTCAGACGAGAAGCGTAAGGGCCCCCTTAAGAAGTTGGTGGAGCTGTCTCAGGCGCCCTTCGGATTAGGATTCGAGAGGACTTCTCGCTTTCATGGTGGTGGAGCATGAAACTCGTTCCCGTGTTGTGCCATGAAACACAGAATATGGGAATGCGCGCAGTCGTCTGAATGCAGAACTGCCTGGCCTCGGGTCCGAAGATCAGAGTCGGAATCTCAATACCCCGACATGTCATGAGTTTGGGTGTATTTCTACGTTTAGGGTTCTAGGGTTGAGGGTTTAGGCTTGCGGGCTGCTGTTCCCCACCATTCAACTTCACTAGTAGCTCTGCAAAATCTCATATTATATCATATCATATCATATCATGTTATACTCTATATTTCAGGATATCGTATTAACTTGTGTTATATTACATACTGTATTGTTCTATGTTATATTATATCACATTCCATTACATGATAAGATAATGTTACATTGTATTGCGGAACATTATTCCATTGTATCAGTATGATTTATATGCCTCATTGTGCCATATTTTGTTATGTTATGTTACGTTTTTATGTTATTTTATATTAGATTAATTTATAATGTATTATGCTATGTTTCATTACTGCTGTTAGCACATTACATGTTATATTATAGTGTTTCATTTTAAAAAAGGGAAACATATTTTATCATATCATATTCTATTCTATTCTACTGTATAATATTATATTAGTTTGACTATTTTGTGTATGTTATGTCAAATTATGAAATTTGCATTTTATTTGTAACGACTACTACTACTACTACTACTACTACTGCTACTACTACTACTACTACTACTACTACTACTACTACTACTACTACGACGACCACAACTACAAGGGAAGTACCAAGCAAAACCGAAGGAAATAACAACAAATCCGTAGGAAAGTAGTGTCTTTCCTAGGAAAGAGCACAGAATTCCGTCCAAAATGTACGGAAAATAGTGTTTTCCCGGGTAAAACGCAGGAAAACAAGCTGCTGTCCTATGTTTTAGGCCAAGCACACAGCAAAAAAAACAAATAAACAGAACAAAAATCCTAAATTAACTTCCTGCCCAACCTGAAGGGCCTAGGCTTGGGATTTGTGCCTTTTGGTGCCCTAGTTGGGGAATCCTAGCCAGGGCGTCCTTGACTACAGTCATTCCACCCCATCACCGAATGCGCTAAGCTGCCATGAGTGTAGGTGAAGTGCGGCTGCAAAAGCTCCTAGAAATCCTCTACTACTTGAAGTCTGCAGATGCCCAGACCTTCCAATATCCATCAGTTGAGGAATATACCTTAACTATAGTAGGACCCCTAATGTGATTTAAGGTATAGCTGCGATGGCAGGATCTGTTCATGTGCCACGCTCCTTCCACGACATGGTCCTTTTCAATGCTTCTGAGCTGATCTTGAACAAGATTTACCGGGTTTTCAATCTAATTCAGTATTATAGTTATAAGAGTATTCACATTTAGTCTTAAGGCGGAACCCCAGCAACTACCTTTTATTCTGGGAGTCTCCAAGAGTCGCCCAGGCCTCTGTGATGAACATGAGCGAGAACCTCTGGTTCGAAGTGGCTTGGCCTTTATACAGAGAGACGGAAAGTGATTCTGCATGTCAAAACGGGGGAATGATGGCACGGGGTTGCGTTTTAATGTGTTAGGGGATTAGGGCTGCATGGTGCTGTAGGGTTTTGGGGGGAATTAGGGTTTGGAGGCTTGGAAGTGGCTGCGAACTCATGCGCAACAGTTGAATCATGATACAACTACAGCCACTGTATCAAGCCATGTCAAGCCTACCAGGAGGTTGCAACCCCTTACATTCGTCAGCCGGCGATTGTTTCCCCCGATGTCTATAAGTTGGAACCTCCTTATTCTATTGCCCAGGAGGTCGATTACGGCCTTCGGCCAATACGTGTCCTTCTGTTTTTTGTATATACTACTTTGTATGTATACAGGCATAGTGTGTGTGTGCATATATATATATATATATATATAATATACACATATGTAGGTATGTATGTATGCATGCATGCTGGCATGTATGCACGAGTTAATGCATTGTATGTTATGTTATGTTGTCTTATGTTTGTTATGTATGCATGTACGTTTATAAGTGTGGATGTTTCCATTTACATATTATATCTCTGGCTTAAGATGACTGCAGTGTTGACCACAGTATACAGCGACCCATGACATAGGTAACTGGGCTTTCAATGATAGGGCAGGTCACAAACCCTGCGCCCAAATCCTTTAAGGAGCATACTACCTCTAGTCTCCTTGTTCTGTTGGCGTGGGTATCTTGACTATAGGATCGTAGCCATACGGCTGGTTGGCCAAAGCCCGGAAGTATTGAAGAGCGCAGGTACACCAGTTCTATTCAGGCCAGGGAGATTCAATGACAGTGCCGCAGCCAAGGAAATGCTCCAGTCTCTTCGAGCGCTCGTTCCAAATTGTGGAAACATCTCCAGGCTGCAGGAAGAGTGCGACCTGCTCTGCCTGGCTTTGGTCCACTTTGAACAGGCTGGTTTTGGGTTTCGACCATCTTGACCTGAAGATCGCAAGCAGGCTGGTAGAATTCGGCGGGAGTGGCAGCCACTAAGACACAGTAGTGGCTTTGGTCACCTTGGTCACTGGCTTGAACTGGCAACACAGAGTAGAGACTTCGAACCGTGTCTTTGTGCCACCTACACCTCAAACCTCCTCAACCGGTAAATCCCTACATGCCTTAACCCTGAATGTCGTCCCATTCCCTGGCTGTATTACAACGAACGTAAGAACAGTACTGCATACATCAGAGATAAGGGCAGTAATTATCAACAATGATCGTACACCAGAATCCTATGCCCACCGTCGTGGAATTCTGATTAAGAAAGCCATAAAATCCTGAGCCTCGCCACAGCCCTAAGGATCCAACGTACCGCAACATGGCTCAGAGTAGTGGCGATTGTTTGTTGGTATTTAGTCGGTCCGTATGTTGCTAATGCATACATAGCCCTGCTTCAGAACGGCAAGCCCGCCGCAGGTGGACCTCAACAATTTCAAGCAGGCTCGGCATGGCCCGACGGTCCTTTAGTTATTACTATTACTATTACTATTACTTCTTTGAGTGTATCGGCTTCTCAAAACAGGTGTTTTTTTGTCTTGCCCGCGTCTCAGGCCAGACCCCCATCCGCAACCCAGTCATTGGAAGCCAAAAATGCGCGATCCTAGACCCCGGATTTGTAGGGTCCTCAGTCTAAGAAAATCCGGAATGCGGGCCTTGTGCGCCAACCCTATGACTCTGTTCCAGACCTGTTGCAGGAAACCCCCCCCCCTGCTCAACGCCCCGAAAAATGCTGGAAACTTGCTGGAAGTGTCGTATAATTCTGGCCCTCAATCCTGAGATGGTTCCTTGATGTTGGGGCTGCGGTCGTGGGAACGTTGGTGGGAAAGGCCTGTTGGACCCCACAGTTCTCGAGCAGACGCTAGAATGCGAAGGGGTTTAATGTAGGGTTTAGGGTAGAACACGATGACAATGTCCATCAGTGCAGAGGTGATGTTTGCTTCACTTCGCTCGCTACTGCCGTCACAATGGAACATGGAGCACGAGAATGTGCCTTCTTCATATTCAGTCTGATTCGGATCTAGGGCGACTAGAGTGAATTAGAATAGAACGATTTTTCCAACTTGATTATGGCGAGACGATGGCCGAAGAAGTCCAAACCGCACCTCAATCCCGAACAGCGCCTGCAGATGCTTTTACTGTGCAGCTCCCAAACACGAAACGCATTAATACCCTACAAGTAATTGTGTTGTACCAAGGTGTCTTACAGTCGCCGTAATTTGCTACACCCTGCCAGGCCAAGGAAGTAAGTGAAAGCTTTGGCGGCCACTACATGAGCAAATTCCCATGGCAACCTAGACGACCCGCTAGACGACCTCGTATGCTAGACATGATCAAGGCTCTCTGGATGACACTCCCTATCCGCAGAGCAACTGTAATATGCACCGTCTGCTACTGCTAGCACCAAAGCGCAGCCGAAGCCAAAAGCCCCTCAAACTTCAACCCGAACCACCCAGATTCCCGAGTATCCCGTGTATGTAATCGCGCGCTTTTCAACCGCACTCAACTGTCGAAACTTGAGCTCTGAAGACATCGTAGCTGAAGTGATTCCGGCTTGTGGCCTCCTCTCGGACCCCATAATATAGGGGCCTGAATAATTGCCATTACTGCTTTGCGGCCCCTTATCATAAGTATAATATAAAGGAGCCCAAGACCCCTCTTTTAAGCCACGGACATGCAGCATCCTTGTGTTTATGTGGTCTTTTGGTGCCTTAACCTAGACTGCCCTTTCAGCTACGATACGGCCTCATTTAGATCCCTTGTGGAGAACCTGTTAAATGGAGCCATATTCGAATTATGAAGGCACTTACATTCAGCCTTTCTGTTATGTCCTAGGCCCAGGACCCCTAAGGAACCCTAGGGGGGTAGGGGGAGGGGAACTCACTGCCCATAATAAGGACCTAGTACCCAGAGAGCCCAATACCCCTTAATTAAGCAATATAGCTTAAATCATAATATGAAGCCCCTTATAATTTAAGCCATATTCCTTAATTAAGGGGTATTGGGCTCTCTGAGTAGTAAGGCCCATACAAGGAAGTATAGTCTCCTACCCCCTCCCCTTACTCCCCTAAGGGTCCCTATGGAAACCCGTAACGTGACGCACACAGCTTTACTTTTTTGCTTAGTGGAGACGCAGTTGCAAGAGTTCCTCTATAGTCCGTCCTAGCAGTCCTTACTTATTACTTTGCTTCCTGAACTCTTCCCCCAAGTGCCGGTAGTAAACCCTAAACCCTAAACCCCGGTAGTGTCTCCACAAAGGCATGGTCCTGGTTCTGGGATGGCGTGGAGCACAGGCTAACGACAGGCATGCCGTCACTGGGACAGTTGAGAGGGTTTGGGGTTCATGGTTTAATTGTTTAAAGCTTGAGGGTTGATGTTAAGATGTGCCGGATCTGAGTTGGGTTTTTCGGTTTCCGGGCATCAGGGCCATAGCGTTACAGTGGGTATCGGCTTCAAGGCCTCAGGAACTGCAGGGCATTTCCCGGAGGGTCCATACATACTACAAGTCTTCGAGGCCCTAGAGCCCAAAAAAAAACGTACTTATAACCTACATACTTACTAAGTCCCTTGGGCCTCTAAGTAGTACATCTGGACCCTCTTGGTCTTGAACTCTTGGAATTATTGGCTCCAGAGTAGGGTGGTTGGGGAGGTGCCTCTGTAGCTCCAGCCGCTCTACTCCTCCAAGCTGTGGTCTTCAGAAGTCAAGTTAGGGGCCTTACACTCAGAATCTCCGCATGTAAGCATTCATGATCCATGAGATCCTTTCTATGTAGGCGCGTGTACTTATTCATCATATAGCCCCCAAGAAACGCCTTCAAAGGGATATTACAGTAGGGATCGTAATGCCGAGGCTTTTTAGCAAAAGAGGTTCGTTTATCAGACGCTCTACATCAGGGTGCCCGTCAGGGTTCCATAACGCCGTAAGGGATCTAAACAGGTTCTACAACAAGGTCAGGCTTAGTGTATGGGCCTGAGCACAGTTGTGTATAGGTTCCAAAAGCTTATTGGGGCTGCAGGGTTTTGGAGTTGAAGGGGTTTGGTGGTTAGGGTGTTGGGTATTTGGGGGTATAGAGGTTTGCGCCTCGGCACTCCGGGGTCAGGGATTTAGGAGTTTGCGCTTCTAAGGTTTAGGTCCATTGTAGGCCTTATCTAGCTATGTGGCGAGAAATCGGAATGAAGTTTTTAGAGTAGCTGATTCGGTTGAGTGTTACCGACGTAAGCATAAATTGGAAGGTTTTGGAGCCAGGTTTTTGCTTCAAGACCGCGGATGGAACTTCCGAATTTGATTGTTGTTGCATTGAGTAGCATTGCAATCTTCTCGCCTCAGCGTGATGAGTGATCCCAGCCTTTGACGTTCCTAGGGGCCTCTCAGGCTATCTGCGGTGTACATGAACCATTTGCAGTCTTTCTTACGAATGGATGAGGCGCGGATGGGATAAACCGGGCGGCCCGCTAGAACGATGAAGCTTAACCTAAACCCCGCGCCTCCCAAACTTGATGCCTTGTGTTGAACCTTAATTTGCTTGAAAGACGCCCCTAAATCACACCTGCGGATGCCTATGAACCGCGAGCCCTATCCTAATACCCACTAACCTTAGGGGTACTTAGAAATAATTGTGAAATTTTTCGTTATTATAATCCCTAAGAAACAGCTAAAATTGTAATTTTTGCTAGGGTTCTAAGTTCAGTATAGTAACTGTTGCATTTCCGGTAGGCCAAAGTCCTGAGTTCCTGGATTCCTCGACAACCCAGCCAGCTTTGAGCTCCTCCTGGTCTTGCAAGTGCACGCTTTTAGGATGCTGTGTTTCCAAGGGTTAAAGGAGGGACCCTTAATAAGGACCCCTAGGCATATACCCTTAATATAGCTATTATATACCCATTATATAGCCCATTATAGGGTAGGGGTCCCCATTAAGGGTCCCTCCTTTTCCCCTGTGAGTGTTGGCTTCTGTATAGTGGTCCGGTGACAAGGGTCTCTATCTGTTTAGAGGTGTTGGCTTATGTGGTGTAGGGTTTACCCAGACCCCCCAAAAGTAGGTAAAATAATGGCCCAAAACCTCTAAAAGGCCATTATTCTACATACTTTTGGGGTATTATTCAACCCAGATGTGGGCTCCTTGGTCTCTGCGTAGGCTGATTTGTCGATCGTGGCCTTCGCTGAAACGAAAGCCGTCAATATCCCTAAACCCTTAAACCTGGCCCTTCAAAACCAAGAGCCCGTGACTCTTAATCCCCAACACAGAGTCGCCGTGACACCAGGAACTGAATTTCAGACCCACATTCCCAGAGGGAGTCTTCAAACTCTGAACCAAGGAAAATGAAAAAAGCAACAGGTCCACAAGAGCCCAGAGAACCACAAGATGTAGCCCCATGATCCGAAACTCTTGCGGACCCCGTTACCGAATACCGAACATGCGAGTCGATGGCAGACCCCACACCCACATAGAACCTCTGCAGAACCCTCCTTTCTCGAATCCCATAATGAAGATGGTTTCGCCAGGACGCCGGTATAAAGCCTTTTCTAGAATGCCGAAGCCCTAAGCCTAAGCCCTTGTCGAACCCTTGTCGAACTCTGTCTAGAATCCCGAAATCCTTGGCCTTGATCAAACCCGTATAGAACCAAACCCAAATGTAAACCGCTGACCACTGAAGAGCCCTCACAGAATCCCTCAAGGATGCCTGCTCGGCTTTCAAGATGGAAGTCTTCGAGACTTTCTTCGCGACCTGCGAGCAGTCTCAAGAGTCTCATGGCAGACTGTTAGTGTTTGGGGTTTACCTAAACCCCCAAAAGTAGGTACGATAATGGCCCAAAAGCTATAAAAGGCTATTGTTCTACATAGTTTTAGGGTCCAGGTAGGGTTTCTTATTTTCGCTGAGTGATTCAGAGGCCTTAGGGCTGTAGGGCTGGAGGATTAACCACCTCTAAACTCTAAACCCTAAAGCATGTAGGATTCTGGTATTCTGTGGATTCAGGGTTTTAGGGGTTATGGTTTACGGACTCAGGGTTTACTGGGGGTCCATGGTTTCGGGCTTACGAAACCTCTACTACCTACAGCGTCCACACCTGGACCCCGAAACCGTACGTTGACAAGACCTTAAACCGTATATTTATACAGCTTAATGTCTTACAGCCTGAACCGGAAATCGTAAGTCTTAGATTTATGAGCCGCGAACCGATTATTTGTAGAGGGGAGCAAAGAGCCCGAAACCAACCGCTCGCATAAATCTGCCGCCCAGAAAGTAATAAAAGACTCAGTGGTAACAATAGCAAGAACATAGCAGCAATAATCGTACTAGTTGGGCTTCACAGCGTTTGCTTGCGCTTCGCCGGCTGCGAACCGAGGTACCTCAAGGCATCCAATGCCAAGCTGCAGTTTATTGCAGGCACAACTGGGTTGTCGCAAGCCCACAACAAGTAATTAGTCGAGCAACAGGCAGCTAGGGGTCTTTTGGTTTGGTTTGGTTCCGCATTACATTTCCCTCTTAAACGGCGATTCGTGTGGATTCTGGCAGAATCACCGTGCCCAGCTTCCTCTGCAGCAGCGGCGATACAGTACTTACCAGCATGGTAACATTGACAGGTTTTTTGGGAGCCCTAAAATCCCAAGCTCTGTCAGGAAGGACATAGAGGTTCGCACCGAGGGTTTGGCGGCAGTTGAAACCGAGCCATAGCTTCACAGGGCGTTCCGACACCCAAAACTTTCCGATGCCCGAATAAGCCGCCTACCCTATATTGTATGGACCTTAATAATTAGAACCTATTCTAATAATTAGAATAGGGTTTTGATGGTTCCTTTCTAGAAGTATAGTATAATTCATTTACTCCAAAGCCCTATTCTAACGATTCAGGCCCCTACATTAGGCCCTGAACCGGCACGAGTGTCTATTCTCAGGGTTCGCCATCGACGGGTTGTACTGCAGGTGGCAATTGGCATTCTCGTCGGGGCAGGAAAGCATAGGGTTGTGGGGTCCCAGGGAGCCCTATCTATACCGGTTAGTTGCAGAATCTCAGAGCCTATCTCTTATTTTTTGACAAGGAGAAACCCTGGTGTAATGTAAGGTAGGCGCCTAGATAAGCCTGGCAGATGAGGGAACTTCAGATGGCGGATACGCTCTAGAGTCCTCCATCATGTACTGTGTCCTCGGAATGCATGTGGTTGCATAACTTGCCGTCCGCACGAACCATACACAGCTGCCAGCCCCAGTTTAACACAGCGTCTGTTACAACTGTTACAAGTACTTTGTCCGAACCAGCACCAGCCTTAAAGCTGCAAGTTTCTATTTCCCAAGACCCAGCAGAACCTTCCGACCCACGCGAATGTGAGCAGGAAGGATCTTGGACATCATGACGGATATGTTCCGCAGCCCGCAGACGGCTGTGAAGGCCGTTAGCACCCTAAACCCTAAACCCAAAATCCTAAACCCTAAGGCAGACTGTGAGCTGGTGAGTTTTGAGGGGGGTAGTAGACTGCCCTTACACTTCGAAGCCTTGCAAGAAGTTATGCATCTGAAGGAAGCCTCTTCCTTTGGGGTAGATGATTCAGGGATAATAATACAATAATAAGAATGATATTCTAATAATAATACTATAATAATACTATAACAATACTATAATAACCCTATTAACTTTCCAATCCCTTTAAGGCCGCCGCAGCGCCCCATGCCTTTTTGGCTCGCGGAGGGCAGTGTTTCGGGATGGGTTGGGTGGAGGCTCCCCAGATGGTAGTTTCCGAAAATAAGGGACCCTAATATAGTTCCCTGAATAGTAGGGTCCCCATTATAAGGAACCCATAGTAAGGTACCCTAATTTTCGGAAGCTCTGCAGATTCACAGGGCCTCTGGTAGGTCTCTGAACTGAGAAATGACAAGCAGCCCTCAATCCGATATCGCAAGCTTACTTAGACCCGAGGAACCACCCCACATGAACCAGACATAGCGCGTACAAGCATGTCGACAGTGACAGTCAATTGCATAGTAGCGACACAGATGTCACAGTGTCCATACCGAGATGTCATGCCATGAAACCTACTGCAGATGTGGTTATAGCGTCATCAGCACAACGAGGACAAGCATAACACGCCGTCGTTTAAGCGATATCATACGACATAAACTGCAGAACTCATCAGAGCAACATCTTACGACAGTTCGAACGAACTACTGCTATAGCAACTGTTGAAGTCACGGCATTCAATCCTCCAATCCCCTATGTAGAAAGATGTAGAAGTCATTACATCAGCAATAGGCAACAATACAAGTTATTGTAGCTATCCTGTTTGTGAATTTTTCCGGTGTTATCGTAAGCCTGCCAACGATATCATTCATAGCAAGATTGTCCAACACACAACACTAGTGACATCGAGAGATGTTAACTGTTAACTTGTAAGCCCTCAATTCCACATCCTGGCGCGCAGCATCCGCTAAATCCCAACCCCAACCCCCCGAATAATGCCTTGAGAAAAAGCCTAAGCCCCAAACCTTACTCTAACCTTTCACCCCCAAACCCGGCTCTTGAATAAAGCGCCTAAGCCAAACCCTATGCCCCAAAGACTACCCTAACCCTAACCCCTCTTAACCTCCCCAGACGCTACCCAAACCGCCCTGAACCCCCCGCCAAAAAAGCCCTAAACCCCTCTGCCCCAAACCCTAAACCCCCAAACCCCTGAACCACAGGCTCCTCCTAGTATAGGACTTCTAACTGCACCTGCAGGCGGAAAAGAGCCGAAAAACAAAATACAATAATCTAGGATGCCCAGTAGTACCCTTATTCCCTTTTTGTAGTCCTAGGTTCCTTATAAAGTTACCCAAACCAAAAAGAGAGGCCTTTTTATTCTTAGGTTACTGGGTATCCTAGTAATAAACCTCTCCATGTTGAGGACATCTCAGCTCTGGGTCTCCTCCATGCCGGCTATGGAGTCCGGGAAGAGCTCATCCCACCATTCGCCCCCCTGTGGCAACGGCTTTCAGGGTGCAGGGTTTTTTGGGTCTGGGTGTTGAGGGTTTAGGGTGTTGAGGGTTTTAAGAAGGGTTTATATGGTTTAGGATGTAAGAAGTAGGGTTGTGTCTCCATTTCAAGCGTATGCAAGGCTTTCTTGTTGAGATCTAGGGTTAAGTTAAGGGCGTTGGCAGATTGTTCACAAAATGACTTTCTGCACTCTGGGTTGGGGCGTAACATATGCAAAAATTGGTCACGGGCCTTGGGCTTTTGTGCAAGCAACAGGTAGGTTGTTTTAAGTCAAAGAATGATACTTGTTTTCCGAACAGCCGGACACCCGTGGTAACGGCTTACATAGGGCTTCTAGGAGTTTAGAGTCCTCGGGCTGTACATGCCTGGACATGGCTAGCCGTTGTCTATGTGAAGGATCAGAAGATCTATGCTTGCACCTACTGTAAATGCGGCCTCGTAGTTCTAGCCACACTTGCCTGCCCTGAAAGTCCCCTAAACCTGGAAGGTAGAGCATTACAGTTTTTGTGTTGTCGCATTCCTTTGTTGGGGGATTTCTTCTGAGTCGCAGGGCTTGTATGCAGGCAGCCTGCTTGAATTTACAACTCATGCGTGAAGGACCGTGAGGTTGGAGTCAGAATATTAAGGTTTCCGAACTTGAACCGTAGTCGCACTTGAAATCTACTTACTAGGTCGCCTGCGCCCGAGTGTTGTGAAGATAAGATTCATTTCTTTAACTAAGGCAGGCGATCTCATAACCCCGAACCCTCAAATTTGAGGAGAGCCGCTACAAAAGGGTCTCGACACTTGGTAAGACCATTCCCTTACAAAGCCCCGATGTAATAGTGAATAGTAGTATGCAAGCCTCTACTATAGAAGCTTAAAATAATTACCAATCTTGTTCCTTAGGGCTCCTTCTCATAAGTATGGAATTCATTAAGGAGCCCAAAACCCTATTCTAATGATGCAGGCCCCTACATCGACTTCCTGAATCGCGACACCCCTCCATAGCCTGTCATTCCTAAGTACCCTAAACCCTCGATTTCAGCACAGTAGCAGCAGTACGAACAGTAGTAGTAGGGATAGGAGTAGCACTGGTAGTAGGAGTGTAGTAGTCGTCGTCCTCGTAGCAGCAGTAGTAGTAGCAGCAGGAGGAGTAGTAGTAGTAGTAGTAGTAGTAGCAGCAGGAGGAGTAGTAGTGGTAGTAGTAGTAGCAGTAGTAGTAGTAGTAGTAGTAGTAGTAGTAGTAGTAGTAGTCGTAGTAGTAGTAGTAGTAGCAGTAGCAGTAGTAGTTGTACATGAACCCTCACATGAAAATCCAAAAAGGGAAAACCGGAGTCTCTCTGAAGCGAAGGTCACTGCGTTCATGACGGCCGTGAAAACTGCATGCCCGGAGGAGAGCTGGCTGAAAGGCCGGAGCCTGCGTTCTGACACGGTCCAGGGTTCAGGGTTAGGGTTTGGGGCTTAGGGCTTTGATGGGTTCTTTGAGGTCTCCTGCAAAGTGACTGAAGTTCAGGAAATATTGTAGTTCAAAAGACTTAAAGAGTGTCTTGCGGGGTCTATGGGTATTTGAAGTGTTTACTCTTGGCGCTACCAAAGCTCGACAACTGTCGGGGTTCACGATATTAGTGCTTTAACGGCTCATGCACTTGGGCAAATGACCAGGATATGCAGAACGGGGATCGTGATGGCACAGACTTCCAGACCAGTCGGGGCTCCTAACTTAGGAACTACCACGCGCCTTTTCGGTGTGTTGGGGCTCGTGGTTGTTTGATTTGGGGTTTGCTGTCGCCCTATATCATCGCATAATAGGAACCTATGTCGAGAAACCCGAAACCTTAACACCCTAAGCCCCAAATCCCAAGACCCTAAACCCTAAACCCTTTAGGGTTTAGGGTTTAGGGTTCCGGCAGGTGTCCAGTGGACATTTGAAGTAGTCAGCCGCACGCTCGCCCGAACGTTGGCTGAAGGCTCCACTGCGGCCACGTGGCGAAAGTTCGTACTTAGGGTTGATAACGGTGCAGGGGAGAACAAACGCTGTTCTGCCTATAACTAGTAAGTAGTAAGGCACGGGCTGCCACCCTGGACTCCTAGTTGTGGTTAATGAGACTAGCGACTCGTTTTTGGTATAACAGACTCGTCAACCCTAAACTCATATGCCTCGCCTGGATTGCCCGAGTGTGAGCGCCGAAACTCAACGACATCAATCCCCACGAAGCATACTGTAGCAGTTTTCTGGTTGGTCCTTAAACCCTAAACCAGGCACCAAAGAAGATAATATAGGGGCCTTAATAGTTAGAATAGGGTGTTGGGGTTCCTTTAAAGGGATCCTTAAAGGATTACTAGAAGGGATCTATACGCACAAGAACAAGCAGAGCCTTTTTTTGTCTTCGGGGAGGAGTTTGAGCCAAAGTGGGCACTTTTGGAAATGACTTCTTTGTCACGGCTAGGGTTTAGAGTTAAGGGTCTGGGGTTTCGGAAAGATCAAGGAGAACAGCTCTGGTATGATTTGGGTGGTTTAGGGGTGGTTGGGAGTTTAGGTCACTTAATGACTCCTTGCTGTTTCGGGGGGAGTTCCCAATTTCTTTTGGCCTGTGTCAAAACATGCTTGTCTTTGTTGTTTGGCGATTCCCGTTTCAACATGAATCGTAGTAGGAAAGGGAAATGCCTTTGTTCAGGGCTGGTTGCGAATTAGGTGGTTGAATCAGAATGCAGAAAAGGGGCCTTGGGGTGGGCACCGTGGGGATGACCTATTATTACCATTATTATTACTACTATTATTACTATTATTATTACTATTACTATTATTACTATTATTATTACTATTACTATTATTACTATTATTATTACTATTGCTGTGATTACTATTATTGTCTCATACACACCCGAAGCCTGGAGGCCCCAGCCCAGAGCCTTCAAGCCCTAAAGGCTTTCATCCGAAAGCCTGAGAACCTGAAGCCCTTGGTAAGTTTTTCAATGTCCCTTTACAGGGAACTCCAGAAAGTTGGAATATGGTTTCATGGTAGGATACCCTATAATTTACCATAGAAGGGTTAGGATAATCATATTCCAACTTTTTGGCTTTTACCCTAGGGAAACAGAAGGCCAGCAGGTACTGTAGTAAGAGGGACGGCACTGAGGTGCAACCTGAAAACATTAATGCCCATACTTTAGAAGCTGCCCCCACCCTGTAATAGTGACTATATAAGGATTATATTAGGTCCCTATTATCTTCCTATTATACCACTATTACAGGGTGGGGGCCGCTTCTAACCCATACTAATCCAAGATCAGCCGTTCCCAGGTCATGCGAGCAATCACGAAAAACTCTGCTCGACAGCTGCTTGTCTTGTGCCCGAAAGCCCCTTCTCCTTTTCGCCAATGTAGACGCGCAGGGGTGGTGTCTTTATCAGTGGTCTACTGTATACTCGGCTTCAGGTGTGGGCTTTATGTCCACAGTAGTAGTAGTTGTTGTTGTCGTTGTTAATAACTGTTGTCGTTCTGGTATTTTCAGTGCCCGACGGGGGCTGGGAGCAAGGTATCGAGCGCTCGCGGGCAAGGCTAATCACGGCACGTGGCTTTCGCTCATCCAAAGCCCAAGAACCACAAGAACTGAAATTCTACGAAGTGTGTTCTGCTTGTACTTGTGCTTATTGTCGTCGTTGTTGTTCCTGCTTGTGTTGTTGTGGTGGCACTACTGCTGCTGTTGCTAGTTTCACCAAAGCTTGAGTCGCACAACTCCTTTTTTGAGGTGGCTGATCGGTCACAGTCGAGCCCGTCGGGCTGATAGCGAAAAATCCTAAATTCGCGCACGAGTCGCCTTTACATTTCTTCAAGTAGTGAAGTAGTGAAGCATTGAACTACCTACCCATAGGAGCCATAGTAGTTCCTTTTTGGGAGCACCTTATAGAATTCTAAATATGAACCACAAAAAGGCACTACTATGGGGCCTATGGGTATGCCCAACTCAGACTAAACCCTAAATCCCAAACCCTAATCCTAAACCCTACAGTAATCATCCCTACCTTCTACGCTTGCACCAGGCTCGAGGAAGCAGTGTCGTCAGCGCCCAGGGGGCAGCGAGAGCAGATGCTCCTGCGCGTGCAGGCATGGTTTTCACGGACTCGGCACTTGCAAGCACGAGGGTTAAACATAGGGGCATTAATAATTTCTTGTACTAGTTTCAGTCAACCCGTTCAATGTTTCAGAAGCTCCACAATACAAACCAGATATATATATATATATATATATATATATATACACGAGCTAAGCAACACTTCGATCCCTTTGGCAACCATATTCTCCCCCAACAAACGCGCACCGAGGACCCGTTTAAAGGCTTCAGGGTTGAGCTTGTTTCCACCCTTCGACTCGGGAGATGTTTGCCAGGTACACCTTTGGTTCAGGGTTTATAGGGGTTATAAGGGATTTAGGGTTGGGTTCAAAAGGTTTCGGGATAAGGGTGAAGCAGTCGGGTGTTTACGGATTCAGGGCTTTACGGGTTGCAGCTTGAGTTTTGGAGACCTGAACCCTACGTACGATGCTCGGATCTGCGGCCGCGCATATTCACAACGTGAGAGGCCCCGAGTACGAAGACTTAAACAGAAGCCTAAGCAATTACCAGTATAGTAACGGTATGATCATAATATACCCCCCAAAACCCGATTCCAAGCATAAGGCCTTTATACCAGGAGAAGTTATCCACGTGGCCACCTCCCCTTGCCACGCTCCTCCCTGCAGCTAAAAATTTCCAATCTTTGCATGAGTGTTCGACTGCGACAGGTCGGCACGGCTTCTTGGCGAAGCACTTCCACGCTGAATTTTGAACCCCACAGTCGTCCTTTCTTATTGCTCACGTGTTGCTGCTTAGTGTTCTCCCACCACCACAACCACCACTACTCGTATCATCACCACGACCACGACGGCGACGACGACTACTGCTACTACTACTGCTACTAAGGCTACAGCTACTACTAAGAAGAGTATTAACTATGACATTTGAATACAGAGTTGGCCTGAGCACACCGTGGACTGCTGCACGTTTTCGTTCAACCAGCAGAAAGTACATACATCAAGTATGTCAAAGGACACCTGAGCTGTACACGGATTGCTCCTCACAATATTCATGTCCTGTGTTGAATAGTTTAAGCTGAAGTGGTAAGTTCGTGTGTGTGTACCTCAAGCAACCTGGGCTTTGTCGTGTGTAACCCGACCCGCTTTCAGCCGCCGGCTGCCGGGGCAGAACTGCTGCGGCACATGCGTCAGATGTGGCGTCACAGTCACTCCCCAATGGAGTGTTCTCGATTTCATTCCGAATTGAGGAATCCATTTCACCCGTTCTCTGGGCCATCCAAAGTGGCGCGCTACGCTCGGCAGAGGCTCGGGCGGTCTGCAGGATTTTTTTTTGGGGGGGGCAAGAAGAGTTTTCGCGCGTGGGGTCGAGTACGTTACGACGTTAAGAGGAATATGGTGGTTTCAGCCGAGTCTGGAGGGGATTGTATGCAGCTGTTTCAATATATTTCTTTCATAAACACCTACACACGGAATCGGATGTGACAGAAGATCATTGTTCGTTGTACGTACACTTGGTGCTGCGGCAGCTTTACTGCCCCTCATGCAGTAATTACTAAACCCACGCCAGGCCCACGCCCTACATATGTTAAAGTCTTAGGCTTAAACGGTTTGGGGTTTTCGGGTTTAGGGTTTCAGGGTTAATTAAACATTTAACTAGTCCCTGACTGCACACATCTTGGACTGTAACTTCATGGGCAGTGAGCCCTGATGGCTGTTGTTGAGCCCAGAGACTCCAAAATCCCTTAATTAAGGAATACACTTTAAATTATAGTAGGATCCATAATATGATTTAAGGTATATTCCCTAATTAAGGAATATTGGAGTCTCTGGGAGGCTATCCTGAAAGACTTGCTGACCATCCGGGCCGACCGAGCGCGCTATTACTACGGTCATCTCGGATGCAAAGAATCAAAGGGGAAAAGGAGGGACCCTTAATGGGGACCCCTACCATATAATGGGCTATATAATGGGTATATGATAGCTATATTATAAGGGTATGTACCTAGGGGTCCTTATTAAGGGTCCCTCCTTTTACCCTTGGAAGGAAGAACTTTAAACACACTGCAGCTAGGGGCTTCGCAGCATTTCTGGGGCTGCAACTAAGGCTCTGTAGGGGCACATACTGATCTCATCACAGGGCTCAGGAGCTTACATATTGAGGTATTATGTCGTGGAGGCCAAAACTTTTCGACACGAAGGATCCGTCACAGGACGTTGCTGGTGCTCAAGCACCCTATTCTAGGGTGTAAACCTCAAGGCTTTATAAGCCTCAGACCAGAAACCCTAAACCCTAGGAGAACCCCGCAAGCAACTGGGTTTCTAGAGAACCTGCGAGCGTTCAGAACAGTGGTGTGGCCGACAGCCATGAAAGCTTATGCAAGTCCGCTGCTATGGGTAGTTGTCAAAATTATGGTCCCTTTTTGGGTACCCTCAATATTAGGTGCCGCATTCTATGCAGGACCCAAAAAGGGACCATTATTTTGACAACCACCCATATGAGTGCACGAACCCTTACAGTGAGCCTTTTCGCTGAGAGCTTGTATTTTCGTGGCCTATTTGCATTATATATATATATATATATATATTTTTTTTTTTTTGTGCTTTGTTGGGACCACGACGGTTTTGCTTGCGGCCTACGTCTTCGGGTTTGTTTTGCCGTTGCGCGCTGCCTGCTGGACGCCTGCCAGGCCAACACTTTCGACTCTTGGTCCTTCCGGTTGTTTGTTGAGTGCTGCACTGCTACACCTGAAGCCCAAGCAGACCACAACATGAAGGACCTGCAAGACAGAGAGCACTAATCAAGAGCCGGAACCACACCCAACCCTCATTACACTTCCAAAGCAGTACGACCCTTCATTTAAGAACCCGTGAAGCGTGAACAACCTAAAGCCCCAGAGTTCAAGCCTGAGGGGTATTGCACGACCTGAATCCTAAGCCTTTCTTTGGGGCCTTACCTACTTGGAGGGTCGGGGGACTTAGTAAGTAGTTATTTTAGGGACTTATCAGTACCCCAATTAGGGTCCCTTTTAGGGTACTTATAAGTCTACCTACTACCTACTTACTAAGTCCCCCGACCCTCCAAGTACCTTCTGAAGGACTTATGTGCAAGCACCTTCAGGTTCAGGCATATTCCCTGAAGCCCCCTCGACCCTAGACCCTAAAACCCTTTAACCTAGATCGAACCTGAAGCTGTTTTGAGAGCTCCCTATTATAATTATAGTATGACAGGCCCCGAAACCCTATTCTAACTAACTATTGAGGTCCCTATAGTGAACACTTTGAAGCCCAGGCATGGAGGGCTTATGGGACCGTCATCCAGATATCGTCCCACTGCTTTGCAAGAAGCGCGGCAGGATATTCGGATGCTGGTGTTCCCAGAGAGCCCAATACCCCTTAATTAAGGAATATGGCTTACATTATATAGGGCTTCATACTATGGTTTAAGCTATATTCCTTAATTGAGGGGTATTGGGCTCTCTGGGTTGACAATAAAGTACCCAGGGGCTCCATAGTTCCTTTTTCTGGTTCATACTTAGAATCCTATAAGGTCATCCCAAAAGAACTACTATGGAGCCTATGGGTAGGCCCCTTTTTAAAGGGTGTAGGGCTGCAGGCTCTGAGGGTGTAGGGTTAAATACTGATACAGGCTCCTGAGCAAAGACAAATTAGTAACACCGACTTACAGGCCCTCTCCTTTGGTTTGGTTTAGGGTTTAGGGTTCGGGGTTTAGGGTTTAGGGTTTCGGGTCGGGAATACAAAGGATAATTACTTTGGGGCCCTTCACAACACGGCTTTACGCATCCGGGGTGTTTCATTGCTGCTGTTCCGTGCAGTGGCAATGCTGCACTGCAAAGTTTCCTTGGTAACTATACAGAATATCAGAAACCTCAAACGCTCAGACTAAACCCGTATAATCCCAAGCCACCTGGCTTGCCCGAGTTGTGAGAGAAAAACCATGCTAATCCTGAGGACCCGAAAAGCCCTAAACTCTAAGCCCTTGGACCCTAAACCCTAAAAGCCCCTAAGCCAAAAAAAGAGCCCTAAACCCGGAAAGCCCCCGAAAGCTTAAACTTAAACCCCTAAACACCCTAAGCCTCAAAACCCTAAACCCCTAAAATCCTCGAAGCCCTAAAGTCAAAAAAGCCCGAAGCTCTAAAGTCCCAAACTCCCGAAGCCCTAACGCCCCAAACCCGGGAAGCTACATGTCTCAAAAGGGGAAAAAGGAGGGGGACCCTTAATGGGGACCCCTACCCTATAATGGGCTATATCATGGGTATATCATTTAATAGCTGCATAAAGGGTATATACCCAGGGGTCCTTACTAAGGGTCCCTCCTTCTACCTCGGGATTGTCTCACACCGACCATGCCCCATGGACCTAGCACTGGATTGATCGAGCTGCGAGACTGTAAAGCCCACAAACCCGAAGGCCTACAAGAGGGGCCTGAACAATACTATTTTGGGCTCCTTATTCTAATTACAGAATGCTGGGCCAGAAAACCCTAGTCTAATTATTGAGGCCCCTATGTTAAGCACTTGGCCCTAAACCCTAAACCCTAAACCCTATTCTAATCATTGAGGACCCTATGTTAAGCACTTTTCTTCTTTGGGGGTCTTGGTGATCTCTGAAGTCTCTGGAAGATCCTTGAGGCAAGCGCCTTCCCTGATGGAACACCTGCTAGACGGCTGCTTGGAGCTTCAGGGTTGATGTTTTAGTGTGTGTGTGTGTGTGTGTGTGTGTTCGGGGTTTAGCTGGGTTTCTGGGGTTTATGAGTTTAGGTTGTTTTGTGTTTAAAAAGTTTAGGAAGTTTAGGGGCTCAGTTGGGTGTAGGGATTCTCGGCTCACTTTGTTATTCTGTTATTCATTGTATCACTTCGCGTTGTCTGCCTCGGCCTGGCTGCATGTGCAGAGACCCGGGTTCAAGAGTGTTGTCTCGCTGAACCATGGGTCTGGCGTGATCTACAACACAGTCTAGGGTCTCAGGCTTAGATCTAGGGTTGACGGCTTCGATTTCGAGTGTACCATGTAACTCCTTTCGCATGCCAAACTTCCTAAACTAAGGCTCCTCGAAGACTAGGGGTGCAAAAGTTGAAATTTGGTCGCAAGTGAAGAGTAATCTCCGCGAGTAGCAGCTTCGGAGTGCACAAGAGGCCCTGCGTTCCCCCGACTGGTCCGATTGATTTTGGAGGTTGGGGTTGATGGGCCACTCAGGTCATCAGGCGTAAGCTCATATGCGAAGACAAGAGCTCCGCATGGCAAATAAGTGTACTTTCGAAATGTGACACAACATGAGTAACATGAGTTCATCCTATTCTTTGCAAAAGGTTCGAGAATTGGGGCTGTTTGTTACGCTCTTAAAGTTGAGAGCCCGACAGATCCATCAGGCGTAGGGCTCTTTGTGTTCACGTCTAGCCGTCTAGCATCGTCTAGGGCGTTCAAGACATTGTTTCGAGTGTCTTGGACAGACTTAACCCCCAAACCTACATGTAGGAGAGACAGAGAGAAGAGAATTCCTCCAGGAAGATTTTCTTCAATCTGCTGAGGAGCTAGGACATTTCTTTGACAGCATAAACGAAGTTTTGTCTCACGCGAGGCACAATCCGTGCATAACTGGAAACCTCTACGACTGCGGGACATCTCCCATAGGTCTCGCTTGTGAACTGCTCCCTCGCTCAATTCAATGGGGTCACCCGGTGGCTCTCATGTGAGCATGTACGTCCCCCCCTGCAGCCTCATACATCCTAATTACTATTCATAGGCCCCATACTAGTTCCTTTTTTGGGATTACCTCATAGAGTTCTAAATATGACCCCCCAAAAGGAACTGCTATGGATACACCCTTAAACCCCGGAACCGGCAGAAAGTGAAAATGGTTCGGAACCCATAGGAACTCGAGGAATGAAAACCCTAAACCCTATAGATCCCTTATAGGAACCCTTAAAGGATCTCTTTAAAGGGACCCTAAGGTACCCCTAGTTTTCGGAGTTCATTGCCCTCCGGAACAGCTGAGGCTTGATGTGGCGATCGAAACAGATCAAGGGAGGAATGCGCAGGTCGGGCAGATGGTTGTTGACACCTTGCCCCTACACCTCACACCCTAAAACACCCGCCACCCTAAACCCATGTTATGCGATACTTTGGTGCCTCGTTGTCTCTACTTGAGACGCTAGCGCTGTGTGCTGCTATCACTAGTTGGGATACCGTGGACTATGTGGAGCCTTGCCTGCCGTGTGCAAGTGTGAGCGTCGAAACCCATGGTCTGGAGAGGCTTTTGTGTAGCAGCTCATGCAACGAATGATGTAGGCCCTTGACAGATTCATTACCCCCCTCGCTTCATAGGGACTACAATGGAGATTCTAATCCTTTAACTGGGCTTGTAATCAGGAGTCTACATGCCCAAAGATTCAGATCTACTACCTGACCCTACAGCAACTCTGCAAGTGCCAGACACCAGCGCAAACTGTTGATCTAATTGACGGCCAACATGGCGGCATTGATAATTGCCAGTACTGTCCCTTCGGCTCGTTTTTTGTCTTGTTTATTGTAAACCCTTACGCTGAACCCTGCAGTGTATTGCACACAGCCCAATTCTAAGTCTGATGACCCGCAGATCATGAAGCCCGCATGAGCACCTGCAAACAAGCACTGAGCTTCGCACTGACATCCTCAAACTTGACCCCGAAGTTGTCCGAAGATGCACAGTCTGTGTTGCAGTTTCAGTTTTAGGCTTATTTGGGATGTTCATTCATCAGTGCGCAACTCTTCAAGTCAAGCTCCGACACGTGCGGGATGGGCCTCTGCGAAGGATTTTTGAGCTTATGATGCAGTTTATGGGGGGGTTCTAAATTCATTTCCAGTACACAGCTTCCGGGTCGGATTCTACTGTCTTGGAGTTCTTATTGGGCTCCGCCATGTTCGGGGACTCCCTTATTGACCCTGACCCCCCCCAACCCGAACCCTTCATCTGCAAGCCTGAAACCCTAAGCCCTATGCGTTTTCTTCTGCACCCTAAACCCTACGCAGGGTGAACTACTACAGCAGTCCCACAACTACCCTCTCATATACCCCAAATACCGACAAGTAAAGGCCATAAAGGACTCCGTTGAAGAGCCCTTAAAAGGGGGGTCCTCTTGCAGGGTGAACTACTACAGCAGTCCCACAACGACCCTCTAATATACCCCAAATACCGACAAGTAAAGGCCATAAAGGACTCCGTTGAAGGGCCCTTAAACGGGGGTCCTCTTGCAGGGTGAACTACTACATCAGTCGCATCTTGGTGACTGAAGAAGGGCGCCTCTCTCCATCGATGCAGCAGCTCGTGCCTGCGTCTTCCTTGGGAAGCATTTCCTTTTTTTTAGAGAACACAAGCCCAGGTTCTTTAGAACATATGTCCTTCTGCAGGCTTTTGGCACGCATACTATGGTTCTTTCGTATGTTGTTGGTGATTCCAGCCCAAGAGGTTATTTAAGGTGCTCTTTCGGGGGTCAAACTTGGAGGCCCAGGGGACTCTGTGAGTAGGTTTTCACCCTATTTATAACCTACTTACTAAGTACACTGGGCCTCTAAGTAACCCTAATCCCCCCTTACAGAACCCTTTTAAGGAACCCTTCAAGGAACCTACTTACTAAGTCTCCCGGGCTTCTAAGAAGGGGCCTAAGGAACCCTTTAAGGAACCTACTTATTAAGTCCCCTAAACCTCTAAGAAGGGGCCATGAGGTGAACCTAAACCCCCAAACCCTAAACCCCTAAACCCCTAAACCCTAAACCCCTAAACCCCTAAACCCTAAACCCCTATACCCCTATAAACCCTAAACCCTAAACCCTAACCCCTAAACCCCTAAACCCCTATAAACCCTAAACCCTATGAGGTGAAGCACGGAGATCCCAACTTGCTTTGCCACCCGTGCACGCGCTTCGTCTTCGATCTCCTCTGGGCCAGAGCCTTCTTTGCGGATTTTTTTTTTGGGGGGTGGTTTTGCGAAGCCTACCCGGGGAACCGAACAAGGGACATTCCATAGTGATTCTAGAACTTCGTGGTGATATATGGACTACCTTAAAGAAATTTGGGGTAGACCCAAGAAAAGCGTACCCTCGCTTTCGGCGCTGGTTGCTGGATGATGTGGGGTTTAGACAAGGATTGGGATTCTAATATTTGTGTATATAAGGTTCCTCCGAGATTTAGATTGCAGGAGTCTCTATTTCTCGCTGTCGTGATACTGGGCTTGGGGCTGGGCTTATAGGAGATTTACGAGGTCGCAAGCCCGCCAACGATTTTTGCATCCGCACAGGATTGGCAGCATCTGCAGCCGGCCCGCAGCCTGCAGAAGCATGGGTACACATGATTTCTTCGATCATAATATGTATATATGAACAGGTTTCAAGGCCTGGGGTGTACTCACCATACTAGGTATACTCCTTCGGAATTCTCCACAGATTCGTAGGGGCCCTACACAAAAACAATATCGAACGAGTTCGACAGCACAACATGATCCGTATGGGAGCGATCCTGCTGGGCTACTATGGTGCCACTGCCTCGCTTACCAAGTTTTCGTCGACTTTGTTTCAGCCGAGCAGTTGCTGAGTGAAGCATGTGAAACATGAGCCATATGTGAGCCGCAGGGTTCAAGTTTTTGTGGTTTCCTTTGTCTGAGTGGTGCCATGTCGTTGGGAGAGGAGGACCAGACTCCTTGGTGGCAGGGAATGGCCCACGAATGGGACGAGATTCCTAAGGTTCGAGATCGCATCCGACGTGGGGATCACCTGCTGCTCCCAGATCCTGCCCAAGCTGGTAAAGCTTCGGGTAAAGTTGAGCCAAAGGATCCAATGAAATCCGGTTTCATTGATAAGTCCATGGCCAACCTCAGGTATAATGCTGATGTGCTGCAGGTGGCCTTGAAACGTTGGTTTGATGGAAATCCTGGTTGTGTCCCGCAGGTGGATTGCTTGGCAAGCGAAATCGAGAAATTGCTTGATATTTGCTATCGGGAACACCCCGGGGCCACGTATATCCATCAGGATGCTTGGGCTTTGAGACGCCTGATGACTTTGCTGAAGTCTTTAACAACAAAGCCGAACCCTCCGAAGGATGCACGTTTGCATTTGTGGATAGGTCAGCATACATGATTCAGTTTGGACCATGGGAATGTGTGGCCATGCCTTGCCCAGATAAGGACGATGTTGTGCAAAGGTTGTTGAAGGCCTTTGGCTGTGACATGACAGCAGAGGCAGGTCAATTCATGCAGCAATGCAATTGTTGTGGCTTGAAGCCTGGTTGTTTGATGTGTTGAGTTGCAGGATCATCAGGATGAGTCGGGTGCAGCAGAGCCAAGCTCTGCCGCAGAGCCAAGCTCTGCCGCAGCAACCCCGAGGAGGACCGAGTCGCGATCCACCATTTCGAGCAACCCCGCCACGCCAGCAGCTGCCGCACCCAAGGCTCGTTGTGGTGCAAAGGCAAAGGCTTCCAAAGCCTCTCCGGCGAGTGTTCCCTCGCCAGCCGTTGCTTCTCCCCCACACACTCCTCCTCCCAAGCCCACGGTGATGACCGAGACCACCCCAACTCCTCCCAGTAAGCCCGCCCCTGCTGAGCAGAATGGCCGGAGAGCTCTGAAAGGTCGCTTGAGGACTCAGTCCACCATGTCTGAGTGTGATGATGAGGAACGAGCTGTCGGGCCATCGGAGGTAGGTGAGTCCAGGGAGTCTTTGGATACTTTGCCCGAGCTTTGTGCAGCTGCTGCCAGCTTGAGTTTGAAGCCGCACAGCGACGAGGCGATTGCCATTGAAGACTCGGATGCTGAGGATACTTGCATCAGGACGAGCGACGGTGCTGCTGTCAAGATTTACTTGGAGGCTTTGCAGGCCGAGGTCAAGCGACGAAAGTCGCCGAGATCAAGTACGATGATTCAAGTGCATTTCGGTGAGCCTGCTTAATGGCTTAATGTTGCTGTGGAATCTAAGGTTGGCTATCTCGAGCAATGCTGCAGCTCCAGTGGATGCTCCGGTGGGGAATACCACCCCAATGGACGTGGCGGACACTCAGGTCGTGCTCGAGGCGGAGCACATTGCTGATGAGGATGAACCCGAGCCCGAGGTGGAAGCCCCAGCATCGGATTCGCCGAAGGAGCTGGATGTCGAGGCCCTGCCATCGGTGGATTCGTCGGAGGTGCTGAGCAGGCGGATGCAGTTTGGTGTTGTGGCAGCAAGAAAAGGGACCCGGTCCAAGAAGGGCAAAGCGCCTAAGATTGGCAAAAAGAAGCGGGCGACGAAGGCCGGTCGGAGGCGAAACATGTTGAGGCGGTCTGCCTCGACAGCTGCTGATGATGATGTTGAATGCAAGGCCCCTGCAGCCAAGCCCAAGGCCAAGAGGGCAAAGCATGCAGCGGCTGGGAAGAACGATGCACCGGGTCCCGAGGCTACTGCCAAGGCCGCCCCCAAAGCGGCTGCCAAAGCCAAAGCAAAGGCTAAAGCAAAGGCCAAATCCGCTCCGAAAGCAGCGGCCAAAGCCAGAGCCTTGGCCAATGCATCGGCTGAGGAGCCCACGTTGGAGCCCGCCCCCAAGAGAGCCAGGGCCAGCCGTAATGTGAAAGGGGTTTCTCCGAATCCGGACATGGTCAAGAAGCTGGTGGGCATCATGAAGAAGCATGGTGGGAAGACTTATGATGAGACCCAGCTCACACTTCATCGCCAAGACTTCTTGCCCAAGGTCAGAATGAACATCTACTGGACGAGAGACTCCGCAGGGGTTACCCTGTACATGCCTGGCGAGACTAAGAAGGATGTGGCCCATTTTGGTCAGCATACCAACACCATCGCCGCCAATTTGTTCCTGGCTCGAACCCTGGCAACTCGACAAGCCCTAAACAGCTTATGCAGTTTGTGTTGTGTGGTTCGGCCTCCTGCTTGATGTTTCTGTGTTTGCTGTCCCCACAGTTTTCGCAGCTGAGGCGAAGGAGGTTCACAAGGACAACGGATTTGTTTCGACCGAAGAAGGTCAAGCTTTTGTGAAGGTGCTGAAAGCATCCATGAAGGCTGCTTGGGAGCAGTACAACAGCTCCGAAGAGTAGGTCTGTTAATGTTGATCATCGATCAAAGCTAGTGCCGTGGACTCGTGTTGGACTGCATGTCAAGACGCATATCATGAAAGAAAGGCTGTAGGATGCAGACCTCAAGATGCAGTCCGGATGAGGAATCCGAGCAAATTAGCATGCAGGATCCTGGCATGCACGTGTGTTCGACATCGCACACACACTAGAGCTTGCTGGGCTTGTGCGAGCAAGGGTGGGGCCCGGCTGCACAAAAAAGACCTCCGTGCAAATATGCATTCTGTGTGTGAGAGAGAGAGTGTTTGTGTGTGTCTCCGACAGGATAGAGTGCAAGTGATGTCTGCCATCTCTCTTACAAAAGCAATCAGCCGGTGCATCGAATGCTCCTATCTTGATTTCGAACGAATCTGCCGGCCAGGTCAAGCCCAAGTTCTGCAGAAGATTCAGAGGCTGTGCTTTGGCAGCCCGACGGGGCTTGATTTGTGACACCCGCTTGCCCGGCTCGCTTTCAGGATAGCATGTTGGGGTCTGGGTGCATCGGGTGTTGCAAACTTAAATATACATTCCGGGGGTTGGGTGCTGTCCAATGTCCTAGAACTCCAGCAGGTATGTTAAAGGCTTCGGGAGTTTATAGGGTTCTATGTGGGGATGATGTTTTTCCTCCCTAGAAAGAACATATGCCCACGCTGTAGGGTTTAGGTTAGAAGCTGCCCCCACCCTGTAATAGTGACTATAAGGGTTATATAGGATTATATTAGGGCCCTAGTATATTCCTATTATACCACTATTACAGGGTGGGGGCAGCTTCTAAGGTTTATAGGGTTATATGGTTATATGGGTTACGGGGCAAAGGAGCTTTGCTTCAGGGTTCAGTGGGTATAAGTTTATGATGCCTGCAGCCCTACAAATCCCTAAAGCAACCCCAACCCCTAAACCCTAAACCCTAAACCCTAAACCCTAAACCCCGTCCGAAGCTCTCCAGGCGACTCGAAAGCCCAAGCAGGGGACCCTGCTCCCACCATTTGTGTGTATGTGTGTGTGTGTATGCATGTAACTGATACTGTATCAAGAAGCTATAGTGCTACTACTACTACTACTACTTCTTCTTCTATTCCCGTACATATAATACTGCTACTTCTACTGCTACTGCTGCTACTACTGCCTCTGCTGCTGCTGTTATTATGTAGTGGTTGTCGTTCTACACCCGAACCACTGCATTCCGTTGGTGCTTGCTGATACTGCTTCTGCAGCTGCCGGAACTATGCTTTCCGTGATCTATGGTGGTGCTACTTGCTGCTGTACTACTATACCACGACCGCTACCACTACCACTATACTACTACTACTACTACTACTACTACTACTACTACTACTACTACTACTACTATACTATACTATACTATACTATACTATACTATACTATACTATACTATCACTGATCACCACCACCGCCAGAACCACCCACACACACATAAATACATGCAATCGGATCATGCAATTGCATCTAATTATTTGCTACCAGTACTACTACCACTTCTACCACCACCACCGCCGCCACCACGGCTACGACTACGACTATACTAATACTACTACCACTACTACTTATACTCCTGCCGCTGCTGTACTATTGTACTGCTACTGCTATATGCACTATTACTGCTGATGCTGCTGCTATTATTGCTATATATATATATGTAGATAGATATATGTATATATGTATATATATATGTATATGTACATATATATATATATACATATTATCTGTAAATATGTATATATATATATATATATATATATTTATATATATACATATATACATATACATATATATATATATAGAACCAGACCCCCCTATCTTGCATGATGCCTTGCGAAGCTCGCGAGAGGCAGGTGTTCGGGC